GTAAATTTTGACTTTATAATACTGGGTATGCTTGAAGTGGACCCTTTATAAATTCATGGAGCAATTTATGTTGATGTCTATTGTGTGCCAGGCAGTTTGCTTAATTCATTTTCCTGAGCTAAGTGCAAATGATACTTTTACATTAACATCCTCCTTACCTTTCCCTCTGGATATTTCTTCCTATGTAATTGAAAGGAAATAGGAGTAAGATTTGTTTAAATGTCTTTAATCTTTTTATATAATCCTATTCAAATGAAAGAAGTAATGTCAACTTTGAAGATGTACTTGGTAAATATGTTTTATATCATCATCATTAAAAGAAATTGTTAGAAAATTTAGGAAGCAAAAAGTGGATGATAGTAAAGCCACTAATTTCTAGGTGTTATAATAGTTCTTATTTAAAAGCTGGTAGAGGCCGGCCTCTATGGCTCACGCCTGTAATCCTAGCACTCTGGGAGGCCGAGATTGCTTGAGGTCAGGAGTTCGAAACCAGCCTGAAGAAGAGCGAGACTCCGTCTCTACTATGAATAGAAAGAAGTTAATTGGCCAACTAATAAATATAGAAAAAATCAGCCGGCCAACTAATACACATAGAAAAAATTAGCCGGGCATGGTGGCTCATGCCTGTAGTCCCAGCTACTCAGGAGGCTGAGGCAGGAGGATTGCTTGAGCCCAGGAGTTTGAGGTTGCTGTGAGCTAGGCTGATGCCACGGCACTCTAACCTGGGCAACAAAGCGAGACTCTATCTCAAAAAAAAAAAAAAAAAAAAAAAAACGCGGGGGAGGTTTTTTTTTTTTTTTTACAAGGGAAAAAAAAAATTTTGCTTATTTAAATTGCCTGTTTCTTTTTTATATTATCTTCTGGCTGACATTATTTACCATATAATGTCAGAAAAGTAGTTGCATTTTCATTATTTTACTCTTCCCTCACTATTGTTTAGAAGGCAAAATAGAAACACTCTAAGAATTTCCCAGCTGAAGAACAGCCTTTCCATTTTAAATCGATATTTCTAGCCTGATGGGATTCTATGTAAGGAGCACAGAGGTATAATGATAAACCAGAAGCCAGCACAACCTCTTTTGGGTACGTGATTTGGTTCTTGAAGTGTTAGTCTGCTTTTTAGGGGTACATTTTTAGGGATCTGATCATCACAGGGTCATGTGTTAAGCCTGTCTTCATTGTCAGGGTAAAGGATGAATATTTATACAATTATAAACTTAATTATAACCATGAATTAAGTTATCTCCATAGCCAGCTCATTAATAATTAGTATGTGTTAGAACTGGTTCTGGAGCCCTGGTTGAAGCCATGTTTTATTTTCATAGAAAGCACTGCTACTTACATTTTGGACTAATATTACATTAATATTCAATAGTTGTGAAACATATATATTTAACAAAATAATATGTAAAATATGATTCAGATTTTGTTAAATACATGTAAAGTGTGTGTGTGAGGATGAGAAAAAAGGACTGTAAGTAATGTAACAAAATGTTAATTACATTTATCACCTATGGATGGTGAGACCTTATGTTAGTCTTTTTAAAAAATATATATTTTTTTCTTTTGAGCCATGAATATGTAATCAGAAAAAAATATATTACCCAACCTATGACCCAGCCACATAGACATACACACACAGACATATACAAATTATGATCAAAAAAGAAAGTATTATTTCAAAAAAACCACACAACTAAGTTCTTATTGAGACACCTAAATCTTTGCAAAACAGGAAGTGTCTATCCCTCCATGATAGAAGGAAAAACTGCTTAGATACAGTTGTCAGAAAATGGAGAGTTATCCCTATAAACTTAAAATCTAGTATGGCATTACAAAGGCATTTGAGGTTATACTAATGATTATGGAAGTCTCTTAAAGATAGGAAATTGTAGGAAAAAGCCCATCATAATCAAAGTAAGACTGCAAGTTGCTTCTAGAATACTGGCAAGCAGTGTTTTTGTTCATGAGTTTTTGCATACTGGCATTTTATTCATAATGAAATTAGCTGTATTAAATTCCATAAGAAGAATGTAAGTTCTTCCAACTTAGACTGCCTGATTTATGGAATTAAAAATGTCAGTGATAACAGGATACTGCTTTTAGCCACTAGAATATCAGTGTCTGAGCATATTTGAGCAACACAGAGACAGTTTACCAAACTGTCATCCCTTATATTTCTTTCAGAGTTTGAAAAATGATTCATAAAATACCTTCACTTACTTCATTCTAAAATATTTGAGATTGAAGCCGGAGCACTCTGTGGCTGTCCTGGGTGCTGATGCTCTAGCTCACATGGCTGGCCCAACTCAGGTAAGCCCAGGAAGAGTTGGGCCAGCCATGTGATCTAGAGCGTCAGCACCCAGGACAGCCACAGAGTACTCTGGCTTCTGGTGTCCAGAGACTCAACCTGAGTTGGATATCAGCCCCACCCTGCTGGGGAGCCCCTTGCTGTACCTCCCCTGAGACTATAGCCTCTTCCAAACAGCATCTCTGCCTACATAGCCATTCCTGCCTGACCCCAGAGGTCCAGTGTGTGAGAATGTAGGATTCCTCATCTTTGATCACAATTTCTGCTTTTGTATGAGCTAAAAGGCTAGACTTGAAACCAGGCCTTGGGCAGTATTAGGAAATCAGGTAACTATGCTACTGCCTATAGGCAAGGGTTTGCCCCCCACCATTTGGGGGGCATCTGTTTCCAGATAACTAGAAGTTAATGGCACTGAAACTAGAAGAGATGCCCTCAAAGGCCTTTGAGTAGTGAAAAACAGGCTAATCCTATTTCCATACTAACTCTGTAAGCAACCTCTCTTGAATTACCCAAACCATTACCAGGGAGCTAGTTGTCAGAACTGGTATCACATATTAAAAAGGAAGACGAGGGTGTGACTGGTAGCTGGATGCTTTCCCAGTAATTCAGCAGTTGATATTTTAGTTAGAGAAGCTCTCTTCCAGTCCAGAATTGTTTCCAGTAACTACCTTTTCCAACTAAGTTAAGGTGAGTAGTTGATAGCATGCTAAACTCTTCGTATCACTTATTGCCATCATATCAAAGTACTTATGAGAGAGGAAATAAATATGAGATGTACTGTACTGGAGTTTTTGTTTTTTCACTGCCACTGTTAGCTTAGCTCTGTTTTCTGATTACTAGTTTGCAGACCTAAAGCTGGGGCCAGCCTACTAAACTCTTGTGAAACTGCCTGGTATGTTAATTAATGTATTTATTTCTTTTACATGTTTCTATTTAAAGAGCAGCAGAGAAGGGAAGAAAAATGGTATCTTTAGCAAAAGAGTGATGAAAGTAGATTTCATTCATTCATTCTGTAACAAATTTTAATTGAGGGTCTCCTATCTTTCTGGGTGGTGGTGTTGTTGCTGTGGATGTGGCAGGGAACAAGACAGACAGGGAGGGGCAGAGGAGAACAGATAAAACTGGAAAGTGATTTAGTGGGGCATCGGATGAGGGGAAGAATTTAAATACTCAGAGAAGGCCTCATTCAGATCCTATTGAGCTAAAACCTAGATCACAGAAGTTGCTATCCTTGTGAAGATCTGGGAAAAGAATATCCAGGTAGAGGAAACAGTGCAGACAGTTGCCTTCAGTTGGGAATGAATTTGGTATGGACAAAAAAAACAGAAAGCAAGCCTGTGTGCCTGGAGGTTGAGAATAAGGATAAAAAGTTTAAGATGAGGTTGAAGAGGAAGGCAGAGACCTAGTATCACGAGAGGCCCTGTGGGCACTGGTGAAGCTTGTGGATTTTATTCTGAGCACGGTGGGAACCATTGGAGAACTTTCACAGAAGAGTGGCAAGATCTGAAAGAGTGTCATCTGGCTGCAAGAACAGTAGATTTTGGAGAGCAAGAGCAGAAACAGGGCGAACAGTTGGGGGGATAGCGCAGTGGCTCAGTGAGAGATGACAATGACTTGGACCAGGGCAGTGATGATAAGAACTCAGGCCCTGTTGTGAGCAGGAATTTCTCTGGCGTCCTATAGACTTTTTCAATGCAGTCTTTAAGGCTAATCACCCATACATTTGAATTGAAATAAAGAACATTTTGAGTTAGCATATAGTTCTGTGATATCTGGGGACTATTTTTTTTTTAATTACTGAAGTTTTTGACAAGTATGGACTCTGAAACATCTGATTTCTTTTTGGCTCTGTGTACCCATTTATCCAAATCTACAATATGTATGTATCAAAGTGTTTGCTAAAGGATATTTATAGTTGTTTGTTAAAATTTTCATTGTTTTATTACAAAAGTGTTACTACAGAAACTAGAACAAAATATAAAGAAAAAATAACCTATATTCTCACTATCCAGATAAACGTTTTGTTTTGTTTCTTTTCAATCTTTTTTCTATGCACAGATGTATTTATTTCCAAGTGGTTTTTATTTTTTAAAGAAGTAAATTCTGCAAACAATAGTTTTCATAAGAAGTCAGTAGTTAAGTGATTTGTTTCATTTACTTTTTCATAGCATTCTTTAAGGAGTAGGATCAATTTCTTATTTTTCTTGCTTGAGCTGCTGCTATCATTAGTTGAAAAGCCATCTTCCCATTAGGTATTTATTGTGTAATTCTGATGTGCTTTGATTGCATTGTCTATGTCTTCAGCCAGCTTTGTAATAATATCCTTAAAATGCTCACCAAGCTAAAGTCACAGATTAGTCCCAGAGTTCATTTTTTTCCCTTTATTGGCCTTGTTCTTTCCCAAAGATATAACTTGGTAAGCTTTGCCAGGATCCACCATTATAATTTTCAGGCAATATAAATTAAATATAGTGTGTTAATTAACTCTTAGATTGCTTCTGTGATTTATTTCAGCTAATAGCAATATCTTCTAAATATTGAAATATCAGAAATATCTTCTAGGAATTTTTGGAACTCACTTAGTTCCTAGCTATAAAAGTGTATTCAGAAAAATAGAAATTATTTTTGTAATGTATTTGTCCTGAATTCAGGTTAAAATGTAATGATGATCTTGGTGATTACTTTGCAGACCTCAAAGGAAGATCTTCTGCAGGCTGATTTTGAAGGTGCTTTAAAGTTCTTCAGAGTTCAGCTTCCAAAGAGATACAGGGCAGAGGAAAATGCAAGAAGACTGATGGAGCAGGCTTGCAATATTAAAGTAAGATTCATACATTTATATATAATAAAGATGGAATTTGAATGCAGAATAACATAGCAAATTATGTAAAACTCCTTTTCTATATGTTGTAGGGTTTGAATGTGTTTAAGGTAATGTTGTGTATGAACTAGTCTCTCCCAGACTTTTGTGTCAGGCTAGTGTATAGTAGCTGTACCTTCTAGCCTACTGAAAGTGAAAGTTGGCAGGTTCAGATTGTAACAATAGGAAGACAAACATTTATCTTGTAGGTGGGGCTCTAGAGTGGGTTACTGTGATAGTGGTTTCCATGGCAGCAGACTTAGTATTTAGCTTTTGCCATCTGTTTTAAGATTATTTAGGACAAAGCAAGAAGAGCCTATTCAGTCGATGCTTTCATTTGTCTAAGGGACTTGGACAGTTTGGGTCTCGATCTGCCCATTCCCACCCCACACCTGCCAGATGTCTGTGGATGCATTGGTCCATGTCATATGTCTGATAAAACTAAACAAATTTTATAAGTTAATTTGAAATTGAAAACTCCAGAAAGTTATGGTATTAAGGTGAGAGAGCACACTTTTAAAAGATTTGAAACCAATTTACTGATGTTAATTCTTACATAGCTGGAATAGGTGATCTTTTTACCTAACCATAACATAAATATAATTTTTTTTCCTAAACAGAGAAAGATCCCAGGTCTTATGGACCTTACATTCTTGCAGAAGGAAATAGACAATAAATAATTAACATAATAAGTAATTTACTTAATATGTTAGAAGGTGATAAATAGCTGTGAAAAAAGAAAAAGTAGGGAAAGATAAAAGAGATTGAATTGGTAGGGTGAGGGAAGGTTGTGATTGTTAATAGATAGGGCAGACTTCATTGAAAAGATGAAGGAGAGGAGGGGTCAGTCATGGAGATTTCTGGGGGAAAAGGATTTCAGATGGGGCAATAGCCAGTTCAAAGGCCCTGAGGCTGGCTCATGCCTGGTGGGTTTGAGGAACAGCAAGAAGACAATTGCAGCTGGAATGAAGTGAATGAAATGAGAGTAACAGGAGAGGAAGTTAGAGGGTTCACAAAGAGCCTACAGAAAATGTAGGCCATTGTAAAGACTTAGGCTTTGTTTAGAGTGAAGTGGAGAGCCCTTGCCAGATTTTGAGTGGAGGAGTGATATAATCTGTCTGAGGATTTTAGAGGATCATGATGGCTATTTTGTTAAGAACAGACCATATGAAGGTAAGAGAAGTAGGAAGATCAGACAGGAGATTTTGCAGTAATCCTGTTGAAAGATGATGATAGATCTAACCAGGATGATAAGAGTAGAGATGGAGGTGGTATTTGGAACCTGGGTACATTTTGAAAGAGAACCAATAAATGTGTTAAATGTGAATGTGAGAATAAAAGAGTAGTCAAGATGACTGCACAGGTTTTGAACTGAGCATCTAGAAGATAAGAGTAGTCATCAACTCACTAAGCTCATTACTTAAAATGTACTTTGACACAAACTTCTTTTAGGCATCATACCCACTGTAACACTTTTTTTGTGCAACACTATTGTTTTGAATTTTAACCTATTTTAAATTAAGTTATAAATGTAAAGAACTACAGTTCAATGTTAAAAGCAAATGAAGCAGAAGAAATTATATTGTCTTTCAAGTGAACTTTGGATTCAAAGAGATTATTTTCCAAAGGTCATTAAGAAAGACGAACCTCTGAAGTCTTAATCCTGAAATGCAAACTCTTTAAAAGACACCTACACTTAAGAAGCCTACATTTGTTTGTATACTTTGAAAATATATTCCAATGGGCATGGTGCCTTTGATTGAATTTTGTGGGTGGTGAGTTTGAAAGGTAGGCTTCAGCCAGCTGATTGTTCCAGAGATACCAAAAAGTATTGTAAACTGGATCAATGCTATAGGAATCCTTTAAAATAAAGTATGCATTTCTGATAATAAAAGAGTAGAGAATTAAGAGGTGTAGATAAAGTAGAAAGTTAAATGTTTTCAAGGGAATTCTAATAGCAGTGGCAAGTTATTGAGGACAAAAACCCAGGAAAACTATCCCAAAATATGAACTGTATAGGGAAATATTTTTTCCCTATATAATATATGAATTTCCTCAGAGGATGTGGAGGTAGCTAATAATTGTCAATCCAGAAACATGGGATCTGACAGACACAAAAACATAAAATGTTAGAAAACAAGTTCAAAATATGATCTGAGTGGACTGTTCCTAGAAAGAAAGCACTTTGTGCAACCTGAATAATTTTTTTTGAGCATGAACAAGTAGATATGAATATTTTTAAAAAGCTTTTAAAAAGTTTAAATAGCCGGGCGTGGTGGCTCACGCCTGTAATCCTAGCACTTTGGGAGGCCGAGGTGGGCGGATTGCTCAAGGTCAGGAGTTCGAAATCAGCCTGAGCGAGACCCCGTCTCTACCAAAAAATAGAAATAAATCAATTGACCAACTAAAAATATATATACAAAAAATTAGCCGGCGTGGTGGCGTATGCCTGTAGTCCCAGCTACTCGGGAGGCTGAGGCAGTAGGATCGCCGAGCCCCGGAGATTGAGGTTGCTGTGAGCCAGGCTGACGCCATGGCACTCACTCCAGCCTGGGCAACAAAGTGAGACTCTGTCTCCAAAAAAAAAAAAAAAAGTTTAAATAATTAAAATTTTTATTTTATTTTATTTTATTTTTTTAGAGACAGCCTGTCTCCCAGGCTGGAGTGCAGTGGCACGATTATAGCTTACTGTTGTCTCAGACTCCTGGGCTTGAGTGATCCTCTCACATCAGCCTCCTGGTAGCTAGGACCAGAGGTGCTTGCCACCATGCCGAGCCTAAAAATTTTTAATAATTTAATAATTTTTAAAAGTTCTAGTAGGTATTGGGGGGGTTGCATTATCTAAGGAAGGTGACTTTTCCTTAAATATTTAGAATAGTATGCACAGGACACCATTTTAATTTATAACATATGATTGTGGAGTGAATGACTGTGAGGTGGATGGAAGGTGAAACTGAGAGAAGAAAGACGTAAGTATATGGTAGGCAGGGATTGTGCTAGAACTAGAATGTAGGTCTCCAACCCAAAGGTTTAAAATTACTTTTAAAATGAGTTTTAAAACTATGTTTTAAAATTGCTTTTATATCAAGACCCTAACCATACATGCATACATACATATCTGAAGAAATACTTATCCTTACGATGTATGAGGCACTGTGATGCTTTCTGTTCTACTGTGTTGTATTCTACTTCATTTTAAACATTACCGTCACCCCAAGAAAATCTCCAAACCAAAAAGCCGATCACAACCCTCTAAATTGATTTCGTAATGGCTTACAGTTTTGAAAACCACTAAGGCCTCTCCCTCTGTTCCTACTGCCTCCTCCCCATTCTGATCTGCTGCAGCTAGTGAGAGGCCGTGGACAAGGAGGTGTCACGATGAACGAGGCAGGTGTGCGTGTGGTGAGCATGCGAGTCGTGATGCCATCATCACGGTGGGATATGTGGGCGGTTAGAAATTTTAGGAGGTGATGGACTTGTGGACTGAGGCTATGTGTTAGACAAAGCATTCATGGACAGCGGTGACTACAGGCAGGGAATAGGCAAAAAAGTTAATCTCATAATTTCTTATCCACAGCCTATTTAAGATTAAGGATAGAATTTCTGTCAAAAGTAATAAAGTTTAAAAAAATTTTTTAATTAATTTCAAGTTGTCAAAGTGCATATTTTTATAGAATTATACCTTCTTTGAATAGACCTGTTTGCATTTAATTACTCACCAAAATGAATCCCTTTCTTCTAATTTCAAGGAACTATGACCAGTGATTTCAGTGAACTGACTGGTTTTAAAATAGATGCAGCAATATCCGGTAAAAAATAATGTTTTAGCTCTATATGGGGTTTATTTCTGTGAGTGTACCAACAAGATTTATTAGTAAAGCACATTATTGGATAAATAATTATATTCTTCTAAAACTCGTTTGACATTAAATATCAGGAACATTTTTTGATAGTTCTTAAACTGCCTATTTAACTAATAGAATTTTAAGATTTTATTTACTTATGTATTTATTTTAGAGACAGGGTCTGGCTCTGTTGTCTAGGCTAGAGTGCAGTGGCCTGATCGTAGCTCACTGTAACCTAGAATTCCTGGGCTCAAGCAATCCTCCTGCCTCAGCCTTCTGAGTAGCTGGGACTATAGGTGTGAGCCACCACACCCAGCTCATATTTTTATTTTCTGTAGAGACAGAATATCCCTGTTTTGTCCAGGCTGGTCTTGAACTCCTGTCCTCAAGTGAGCCTCCCACCTACTCTTTCCAAAGTGCAGGGATTACAGGGGTGAGCCACCATGCCCAGCCCTAATGTAGTTTTAAGTTATTCTGATATCCTCCTGTTCCTATGGTTTCAACCATCTAAAATCAGAAAATATGTTGACCCATCAGACTTTTACTTTGAATAATCATTTGGTTACTTAATATTAAGATCAAAACCTAAATAAAAGATGCTTAAAGTGCCTAATATCAATATCTTGCACTTTCCCAAGGAGTCAGTTTTTATTGAATATTATTATTTGATTTTTGCCTTATAGTTAAAACTGTTGCTATTACAGACCTTCTTAAATTTGGATTTTGGCTTCAGGGACTCTGAATCACCAGAAATTTGAATTTCTTCATATGAACATATGAGCATTTTGTTTTTTCTGGTAGGACAATATATAGCTTTCATTGAATTCTTAAAGGGAATCCAGTGACTCAAGAAAAGTTAGCTTCTGTACTGTGGGACAATCTTAGACTTGCTAGGCAAATTAATATTTCTATCGAACATTAGAAGTTTTGAATGAGGTACCTATATATATTCAACTACAATCTTATACTTTTTATCTGATTATTTGTTTTTCTACATATTTTTATTCAATACCATTTATATTATATTAGGTTGAATTGATGAAATTACCATTCTTGTTGGTCAAAAACTGTCAGGTATTAGATGTTGTATATGATTTAATTCAATATTCTATGCCT